AGAGGTGTTGGCCGCAGCCCAGAAGCCGGGTGATGGCCACCCATCCCGGGCACAGAGGGGAAAGCAGGAGTCTGCGGCAACCCCAGGCTGCTGCCCGAGCATCTTGCCTGCCCCACGTGCCTGCGAGCATCACGTGCAGCCGCCCTCTTGATTTCGATCATACCTTTAACGCGAGAACTCACCAAACCGAGGCATTTCCAGGATATTCTTGTTTCTGTCTTAAAGGGTGAGTAACTTTTTTTAATGAGGGAGGACTAATGATCCCTCCAGGGATGGGCTGTCACCGCTGAGCAACTGCCAAAGCACACACAGCACCGAGGCCCGAGGCCAGGGGGTGGACGGGCCCTGGCGCGTGCCCCCGGCCCTGCGGTCCTGGCAGCGATGCCTTTTGCCCCTGTGCGGCCCCCCCCTGTGCCCCGAACCCTCCCCAGCTCCCCCTGCTCCCTCCCAAAGCACATTGAGGCCTTGGTGGTGGCACCAAGGACAGGGAGAACGGAGGGACCCTGAGCGGGATGACCTTGTCCCTGCACACGCGTGTGCTGAGGTGTTTATTCCCCTTCCCGTAACCCCCATTTGTGGGGATTAAAGAGCTCCTGCCCCTGCAGCTGCAGGAATCTGCCCCAGCCAGGATGGCTGGGCTACCCCCTGCCTCAGTTTCCCCCTGCGTGGTCTGCCACAAAGCCCAGGTTTGCAGCGAGGGGCAGGGGGAGAGCAAAAAGGACCCCACAGCCCCGCAGCGCTGCACGAGTGGAGAGGACCGAGACCCCTTGGGAAATGCCATGAAATCACACCCGTCGTCGCCGGCTCCGGGCTCAGCAGCCACCCAAAGCGGAGGTCCCGGCTGGCTTCCCGGCTTTCCCAAGAGGAACATTAGCAGGGCAGCCAGTGCAGCGATGCCAAGCAGCTGGTGAGCGATGGGACGGGGTGTGCTGGAGCTGCCACTACCCGCAGCCACGCTCGGGTGTCACCCAGGGCCCAAAAACCTAAAGCGAAGGGACCAGCTGCGTTCTCTACCAGGCTCAAATTAGTGGCATTAAGACGGGTTGTCCCTTGCCATGGCTTTAAAAGCACAAGTCATGCCAAGCAAAATAGCATGTGGTGTCACTGGGAAGCCACTGAGCCTGGGACATGCAGGTCGCTGTTCCTGCCGTGAGGGGACCGGGGGGGACAGGGACCTCCCTGGCTGGTGACACCCTGGGCAGCTACGAGGGGGCAGCTCAATCCCTGCCCAGCTCTGGGGCCACATCAGTGCCGTGTCCCCCTCCTCATGCCCCGGCAGTGCCGTGTCCCCCCCTGCGCTCCCCAGGCAGCATTTTTCAGCAGCCGGGGGAGGTGACGGGTGCCATTCCTCAGCTTTGTGTCATCCAACAGTAATAATACCCTGCACTCCCTTTCATCTCAGGGCTTCCAAGGTGGCTGTCTCTGGGACGAGTGCATCCCAGCATCATCACTTATCTTTAATTCCAGGAGGCAGCCAGGGATGCGGTGGGGTCTGGGAGTCCCAGTCAGTGACATGGGGACCCTGGGCTGAGAGCAGACAGTGATACCCCTCGCCCTGGGCAGTGAACACAGGTGCTCACCGTGCAGCCGCACGACCTGCGACGCTGAATTTGGCCTTGCTGTGGCCACTTGGGGCCACGGAGCCAGCTAGTGGCACAGCCCCAGGGACACGGGTCTCCCGGCAGCGAGGGTCCGGGGGCAGAGAGCAGCAGTGGCACTTCTGGGATGGGCTGTGCAGGAGTGAGCGGGGCTGGATGTGGATGAGAGCGACTGGGAGGTGTCCGGGAGCAGTGTTTGCTGAGGGAGGCTTTGGACACGGCCGATGAGAAGGGCTCCAACTCCTAAACCCACAGCGGGCACGGAGAGGCAGCGTGTGCATGGGGGTGGCAGCACGTGCTTGGGGACAGCGGCACATGTGCATGGGACAGTGGGCTTTTGCACGAAGATGGTGGCATGTGTGCAGGGGGATGGCAGACAAATGCACAAGGATGGCTGGCACCTGTACGGGGACAGCTTGTGTCTGCATGGGGATGGCTGGTGTGTGCGCACGGGGCAGCCCGGGCATGCACAGAGATGGCCGGTGCATGCACGGAACAGCCAGCATGTGCACGGGGACAGCTGTCGTGGGCATGGGGACAGCCAGTATGTGCACAGGGACAGCCCGTATGTGCACAGGGACAGCCTGGGACATGGTTGGCATGTGCACAGTGGCGATGTCGGGGGCGGCTGCCATGGGAGCAGGGCAGGAGGAATGCCCCCATGCCAACGGGGCGCGTTGCTGCTCCCCTGGGGCGACACTGGGTGACGTTGGTGGCTCCAGCAGAAGGGCTTGGTTTCTCCTGCTTGCTCAGGGAGATGGCACACACCCTACTTAATGGCGGGTGGGACGGAGCTGGTCCCACGCGGGTCAGGGAGTCCCCGAGGTCTTTCTTCACCTCCAGGTTGGGCTTTCACCCCCTGCCCTACTCCCCCAGCTCCTCCAACCCTTTTTCCCCCCAACTTACCCACTGAGCAGCCCATGACAGGCCCCTGCCCCTCTCCATACCCCTGGCAGTGGGGTGCCCTGTTCCTCTCCGTGCACACGCCGGGGCACGTCCCAGCTCCTCCCTGGGTGATTTCCCGGCAGGGTGAAGCCGGTGTCCCCCGGGCAGAAGCAGGATGCTGCCAAGCCCAGATCTATGGGCCAAGCAGGGCCACGGCATCCCCGAGCCCCCATCCCCCTGGCCAGCCCCTGGCCCACCTTCACAACCCCAAAGGGGCTTTGCAACCCTCGTGCCATCACCCGGGAGGCAGGATCCGCCCGTGTTTCACCCCAAGACGGTGATTATTCCTTAATTGCCAACAAAACAAACAAATAAAGCCCGGGCTGGCCCTTGCTGAGCTGGAAGGAAACGGCCTCGGTGCCATTCCCAGCCCAGGGTTCACTGCCGGTGGCTCTTTGAGATAATCATTTGGTGATGGACATTAACGAGCAGCTCAGCCAGTCCTGCTGGAGCACGTCAGCTCTTTTTAATGGGCCAATGTTTTCTCCGGAGCCATCAGCACGCCTGTCCCTCTCAGCCCGGGGAGCACCGGCATGTATCTCCCAACTCATCACCAGGCCACCGGCTCATCCCCCAAGGATCTGCAGCACCTTGTTCACCCCATCAGCTCCGCGGCCACATCCTGCCCCACTGCCCAGGGGTGCCACGGCTGGTGGGGTCCCCCAAACTGCCCTGCCTGTGGGGTGCTCACCACCCAGCCAGACCTTCCTCCTGTGCCCGAATCCCCCCAGTTGGACCCCCCAGGACAGGCAAGTAGGATGGATCCTGATCCCTAAAGCCATTTGCCCCTCTCAACATCTTGGGAAACTCTTCCTGATCTGGTTCTTTTGCTGACAGAATGAAAGGGGTTTTGCAATGGGAGGCAGCTGCCTGATTTTTTATTAAGCTCCTTGGAAAATCACTTTCCAGCAGGGATCCCCTCCTCCTGTGCCCCAATTTGGAGCCTTGCAAGGAGTAACCAGGAGCAGCATTTAATCCCAGTGGAGATGCCTGATGGAGCTACACAATGACACTGACAGGATTCAGAGAGCAAAACCCCACAGCATGAGGAGCGTCCCCACACAGGGACCCCGGCGGAGGGGACGCCAGCCTCCCATGGGAATCCCTCAGGCTGGTGGTGCATCACGGAATGGGGAGGATTTCAGAGGATACCAGGGCTCAGGGCACCCCCTTGCCTCCTCTCCCCTCCAACCCAGCTGTGGGTGCTCCTAAACACCTCATTTCCCCCAAATCCAAATCCCCCCATCACTAAGTTACTCTTTCCACAGCCAGGTCCAGCTTCCAGCAGCAGACCCCTGGGATACGGGAGAGGACAACCTGCCACCATAGAGCCTCAGCTTCAGAGACAGACTTTGCAGCTTGGAAGAGCTCTGCAATGGCCTCCCTGAAGCAAAATGCCCCAGGCTGGGGGTCTGGGGGTTTTCAGGGGTGCTTTTGCAATAATTCCCTGTGAGGGTATAAACATAAATCAGTGCTGGCTCGTTCCTTGGCCCAGCTTTTAAGGATGGATCCCAGCTCCAAGCAGGAACCGAGGAAATGGGAGCAGTGACTGCTGATGGGGAGCCTGGAGTCATGCCTGTCCATCTGCGGGACCGCAGGGCATCGGGCACTGGCTCAGCGGGGAGGCACCTCCTGGAAATGTCTGCAGGGTTAAATGCCGCAGAGAAATGAGCTCTTTAAAGTGATGGGAATTGTTGGGATGAAAGGAAATGGGCGGCTGGTGGCTTGGGACACAGCTGGCCGGAGGAGGAGGCGGTGGCTCGACCAGCAGCGGGGCCACGCGGTGGGTTTTAGGGGCTGGGGTTGAACTCTGGGGGCTGGGAGTACCTGGCATCAGCCTCCTGAGCCGGTGGGCTCCATCACCCCGGGGTGTCACCCTGTGTCTCCTGGGTGCCAGAGCTCCCTGCAGCTGGCTGGCGCAGTGGGTCCCTGGGGAGAGAGGGTCCTGGGGAGGGGGGTGTCCGGCTGGGGGGCTTTGGGCTGTGGGGTGCCAGGCTATGGTGTATCAATGGGGTATCAGACCTTGGGGCATCAATGGGGCATCAGGACTTGGGGTATCAGTGCGGTATCAGACCGTGGAGCATCAATGGGTACCAGGCCGTTGGGCAGCAATGGGGCACCAGGGCACGGGGCATCAATGGGCATCAATGGGGTGTCCCTTTAACCCGCGCCCCGCCCCGACCAATCACCGCCGGGATTCCCGCACGCAGCGAGCCGCGCCAGAGGGGCGGGGCTCCACCAGCCTGTCCCGCCCCCTCTACCCTTCGTCCCGCCTCTTTCCCTCCTCCCTCCTCTGATTGGCTTCTAACCCAGCCCCTCTTTTCCTCCTGGGCCTATGAAAGCGCCAGAGAGGCGGCGAGGCCGGGCAGGGATTGGCGGCGGGGCCGGGCCAATGGGGGCGCGGCCGCGGGGCCTATATAAAGGGGCGGCCGGGCGCGTGCCAGCGCAGTCCTCCGCGTAGCCGGTGGCGGGCGGGGAGCGGCGCGGGCCGGGCCGGTTCGTTGCAGCGTTTCCCACCCCCCGCTCCGGGCACCGACCGCTCCTCCCCGCCTCCGCCCCTCGGGGAACGGCCCTCAGCACCACCTTTTTTTTTTTTTTTCCTTCCCCCTCTCCTCGCCTTTTTCCCCCCTTTTTTATTTTTTCCCTTCAAATTTTCCTCCCGTTTCTCCTCCCAACCCGGCACTTCCGGCTGGTTTCCGGGCCGTTTCCGGGTGACTCGACCTCCTCTTCCGGTGGCTTTTCGGCTGCGGCGGCGGGGAGGGGAGGGGGGGGGAAGAGGAGGAGGAGGAGGAGGAAGGCGATGCTGCCGGTGGCGGGGCCCGTTGCGGGCCCTTCGGAGCAGCGCGGCGGCCGCTTCAGCGTCCTGACCTGGGAGCAGGTGCAGCGGCTGGACCAGATCCTGGGCGAGGCCGTCCCCATCCACGGCCGTGGAAACTTCCCCACGCTCTCCGTGAGGCCCCGCACCATCGTCCAGGTGAGGCCCGGGGGGTTGGGGGGGGGATAAGGAGTTGGGGGGGGCAGGTTTCGCCGCCTCGTTGGACTCTGCCCCGCTCCCGCGGGGGTCAGGGTGAAAATAAAAGTGCTGAGGCAGCGGTAACCGGCACGCCGGGCCCTGAGCCAGCCCCCCCGGGCACCCTCTGCCCCCCCCCGGTGAGCTGAGGGCAGAGCGCCCGGCCCGCACGGTGCGGGTGTTCCCCCGGGGGGGGGGGGTCAGGGAGCCGACCCCCATCGTCCCAGGGGTGCTGGGTTAGCCCTACTTCCCCATCCCGGGGGGGTCTCGGTGGGGCTGGTTGGGGTTTGCTTGGCCTGGGGGGGGCTGCCTGCTTGCTGCCTGTGTTCTGCCCGCAGTCGTAGAAATGTATAAAGCTGGAAGGAGTCTCCTGAAAAAACAGCTTTCTCTAGAAAAAAAAAAATCCCCTGCGTGTAAAATTCGTGCCTGAACCCCGAAGCCACTGCAGCTTGTGCCATGGATCCCGCTGTGCTTCCTCCCATCCCGTGGTCCTCCTCCTTTTAGAGTGGCTTTGGTGCCCCAAGAGCTGCAAAATGGGGGGGGTGGCCAAGACGAAGTGGCTTTTTTGGAGCTGCTGCCACGAAATGGCTTCGTGCTGGTGGACATGTTGGGCTTGTGCGTTGTAAGAGGCAGTTATTAATTGAAATGCTAGATCAAATGTCAGTGTCCTTTGATTCTTGTCACACTGACTGTATCTTCCAGAGCCTGCCTAAGACTTCATCTTGTTGAAGAGTTCCTGTTAGTTTAACCATAAAGTAATAACTGTGTTTAATATTAAACTAACAATGTAGTTCAAATAAGCTGATGCATATTCATGTTTGGGAGGCAACTTCATTCCTCAGTAATGACTCATCAAATGTAAAATCGGGCATGTTAGCTTCTAATTAAAAAGGCTATTCACAAAGCTAAAACCAAACTGGCTTTCACAATAAGCTAATCACTAGGATTTTGAAGCCTCAGCTGCTTGAGAAATATTTCTACTTAAGCCTGGAAAATGGAAAGGTGACATTCGAAAGACACTCCGCTGTGCGAAAGCCTCAGCTGATTTCAAATTCCTCGAGTTCTGCTGCATCTGTTGGGGGCAGAAGTGCTAAATGTTGGCTGCTAAAGCTTTTAAACTGAAGGACAGATGAGGGCTACTGTCAGGACACTGCCCTTGGGTTGTGCAAGACCAGCGAAGCTCGGTGCTGCTAAAAGCCCGGCGTGGTGCAGCATCAAATGTTCCACCAGTTATTACTGTTTGATTCCACGAAACTGAAGTATTTTGGTGTCAGAGCTGCTGAAAAGGATGTTGCCACTAGCAACTTCAAACACTAAACTGAGGGCTGTAATTCTGACCAGCCGTGCTGGCAGACCCTGTATTTAGGGCTGACTAATCTGAAACAAGTAACCTAAAAGGCAGTTATTTATTGCATGCTCTTGTTGTTGTGGGAGGTGGGAAGCGGCAGGTCAGGACGCAGGCAGGGTTTGCTCCCGCCTGGCTGTCAGAGTCAATTATCTGAACCACACGTAACGTGAGGTACTGTTTTGGGAAGCAGGTCAGCAGCTGCCTAACCCTCTAAATATTCAACCCTCTGGGGAAAAAAACCACATACCTGAACCCATCAGCTGGAGCTGGGGAGATGTGCTTCAGGTTGAGACTGGTAGGCTGAAGCTTGCTGTCCTCGGGGAAGCAGCAAGGCTCTCGGCTCCCTGGTGCTCTGCAGGTTGGAGCTTTTTTGGGTGATTTGGGACAAGACTGACTTGAGCAGTTGGATGAGGTGGTTTCCCCCCCCCTTCCCGAATACATCTCGCGTGGGAGGACCTGTAAACCTGGGGGGAGCTCCAGTAAGCCTGAAGCTTATGGTTCTGAAATGCTGCACCCAGAAAGGGGTTAAGCAGATATTCTTTGGGGCTAGGAAATTAATCTGGAATGAGATCTTCTCCAAGCACTGGTCCTAGCTCTGCATCTAACACTTTTGTGACCTATATCTTGTCTCTCTAAGCCTAATAGCACAAAACTCTTAACTCTACAAGTAGTGCTGGAGCTGTGCCTGGGGTGAGTGGCTCCAGTGACTGATCAGTTGGCAACAAATGGGCACCAGGAACTCCCCTGGATTGACTGCGTGATATTTGTGCTATATGGGGGAGTAACCCTGGGTCTCTTCTAGGAGTAAATGCAGTTTTCAGGCTATCTGCCTTTGAAAACAACTGCTTTCATGGCTGCATTGGATGTGCTGGGGGGGACTTGGGACTTCCGATGGTGAATAGCTCACTGGTTAACTGTTGCCTGACATGTGACTGTCACCATTCAGTTGGCAAGGAGCCCAGGCACATTTCTAGCCTGAGCAAGAGTGGCTCATGTCAGGGAGTAGCAGGGGAAACTCCAGCAGAGAAGCTCCATCATGAGATTTAACAACCTTCAAGTTTAAAAAACATTTATCGGTTTGTGCCAAGATATTTTCTGTTTGCAAGGGCACCTCAGGGCAGCAGAAGCTCACTGGTGTGGCCTCAGCTTGGTCACCAAGAGGCCTGTGACATGCTAAGGGTTGCATACTGCAGTTGTCCACCTCTTATGTATTGTTTTTTCTAAACAAAACTCATGGAGGGGCTGTTTTATAGCTGCTGAGACTCAATGGAGCTGCAACGCTCTGATGTTCCCCCCCCAGAACTGGCTGCTCTGGGCCACGTCAACCAAGCATGGCTTTTGGTCCCTCTGATAAAGTTTTTAATTTTAGTGGGGCCTCTCAAACTAGGACAGCCTCGCAGGGCTGAATAGCCCAGTCAGACTGGCTTCTAGTGATATAATTTGTCCATTTGTATCCCAAGCTTAGGCTCTTTCAAGCTCTAGCCTTGCTTCAAGCACCGGGTGAGCAGGCTGGCTAGCTGGGACTCACAGGACAGTGGGTAATTGCTGGAGAGAAACATGAAAGCAGGATGAGAGATGTGAAGAGCTTCTGGTGGAAGATATGAACTTAATCTTCCTGGGATCTTTGAGCTCAGTTAAACTCAAATTATAACCTGGTGTCCAGATAGTTTATTTTATGGTCTTGGGGTTATTTCAGCCTCCTGCATGTTAAGTAATCAGGCAAGTGATTCAGCTTCACTCTAAATGAACAAAGCTTTGGAGGTACTGGTGGGTGTGCCAGGACTGAGCAGGCAGCATTAAAATCACCGGAGTAACACCCGTAAGATGAAAGCTGCCTCTTGTGCTTGATAGCATGCCAAGTTCAGCACGAAGCTCTGACACACTGGAAATTGTTAGGATACACTTACTAGTTAGGACATGAACTTGCATACGCCTGGCTGGGGCTTTTGAGCAGTTCTGGCATCTTGATTTGCCTTTAATGAATCTTGACAGGCAAAGGGGATGGCTAAAAGCAGTGAGCCACCCTGATTAAATCAGCAGGGACTGCTGCAGACTGTGCTGCCGCCTTGTATTTGGAGTCGTTTCTGGATCGGCTGGTCTTGGCTTGCTGACTGGAGAGGCTGACTGCAACTGTGGGGGGGTGAAGGGGGCAGAGGATGCCCCAAAGAATGGGTTCAGATAACCTCTCCGCTTTGGTGGGGGGAAGGAAGAGCAAACAGCTGTACTGGAAGCAGAAACATCTGTTTGTGTGCAGTAAGAGCCCTCTAATGCAAGGGAATAAGTAAAGGAGAGCCACCCCCAGCTGCTGGTGAGATTCTGGATGCTTTCCAAAGTGACCTATTTCTAATGGATTAGCTTTTTATTTCACTGTCTTGCACTGGAGTGACCCATATAAGCACAGGGAGTGAATCCTGCTGCTGTATCCAGGCTGCTCCAAGAATGCTTTCTTGCTTCTCACCGACTCTCTTTGTATCTCAGGTTGTCCGTAGTCGCTTGGAGAAGAAAGGAATTGCAGTCCATAATGTAAGGTTGAATGGCTCAGCAGCTAGTCACGTTCTACATCAAGACAGTGGCTTGGGCTACAAAGACCTAGATCTCATCTTCGGTGTAGATCTGAAGACTGAAGATGTCTTCCAGCTTGTTAAAGATGTGGTCATGGACTGCCTTCTTGACTTCCTCCCAGAAGGTGTCAACAAAGACAAGATCACCCCCATGACTCTGAAGGAGGCGTACGTGCAGAAGCTTGTGAAGGTGTGCAACGAAACCGACCGCTGGAGCCTCATATCGCTCTCCAACAACAGCGGGAAGAACGTGGAACTCAAATTCGTGGACTCTCTCAGGCGGCAGTTCGAGTTCAGTGTGGACTCCTTCCAGATCATCCTGGATTCGCTTCTGCTGTTTGGGGAGTGTTCAGAGAACCCCATGGCTGAGAACTTCCACCCCACGGTCACTGGGGAGAGCATGTACGGGGACTTTGAGGAGGCAATGGACCATCTCCGGAACAGGGTCATCGCCACGAGAAACCCAGAGGAGATCAGAGGTGGGGGGCTTCTGAAATACTGCAACCTCTTGGTGAGGGGGTTTAAGCCCAAATCGGAAGTGGATATGAAGGCACTACAGAGATACATGTGCTCCAGGTTTTTCATAGACTTCTCTGACATCGGTGAGCAGCAGAGGAAGCTGGAGTGCTACCTTCAGAGCCACTTTGTTGGGATGGAGAGCAAAAGATATGACTATTTGATGACCCTCCACAGGGTGGTCAATGAGAGCACAGTCTGCCTTATGGGACACGAAAGGAGGCAGACCCTGAACCTCATTGCCATGCTGGCTGTGAGAGTCCTGGCTGAGCAGAACATCATCCCCACTGTCACAAACGTTACCTGCTACTACCAGCCAGCTCCTTATGTCAGTGAAATAAACTTCAACTACTATGTCACCCACGTGCAGCCCTTCCTGCCTTGCAATCAGTCTTACCCGACGTGGCTTCCCTGTAACTGAGCCAGGACAAACTTCAGGGTCTGTCCTCCAAGGTACTTTCTTGCCTTGGGGAGTGGGGAGGGTGGGGGGCAAAAAAAAAAACAAAACCACAAAACACAAAAACAACAAACAATACCTTCCTAGAACTGCAACAAAAGGCAACTTCCTGGACTCTTGCTTGAGTGTCTTGTTCCTGGGATTGTTGGAACGAGGCCTGTCTGCTGTACACTGTGATGGGAAGTGCAGTGTTATGGAAACTAGATAACTTGGACGTTTACAGGAAGACTCAATTGCTTATTGAATTCTGGAGGCAATGGGGGAGGGTTGGGGGTGTGTGAGGGGAGATTGTAGAATTACGCTAAGGTAGAGCTGCGCTGCCCTGAAATGGATCTGAATTGGGTTCTTTTTTTTTTAGTGCGGGAGGTGTTATGGGTGTGCAGACTTGTGGTTTCTGAAGATAGAAGCCAGAGTGGCTAATTCCTTTGAAGGACCAAAGAATCCTGTTTAAGTGCCTGTAACAATATAAACACAACTGTACTGTAAACCTTATTTTTTTGCAGGGGCTGACATCCCAAGAGCTTGAGTGGGGATGTCTGAAGAGGAAAATGTTTCTGTTGGGGGGGTGGGGAGGGTCGTAAGATCATTTCTAGTAACCTTGCTGAAGCAAGAATGGGATCGCAGGTTACATGTTGCTGAGGTTTTTTTGGCATGGCTTGCTGCCTATGAAGGACCAGCTGTAGCAAATAGCTGTCAAAGTGGAGTTGCATAAACAGGGGTGGGCTTTGAATGACTCTGTGTAAATGCCTAAAACTGGGGACACTGGGGTGGGGGGGGAGTGCATGGTGGAAAATGCTGTGCAGAGCTTTATGGAGAAAAGGCAGCAGGGACCTACATACAAATTTACTCAAGCTCCCAAGTCTGCAGTGCCAAAATGTAACTGTGTACATAAATGATGAGGCAGAAGATCTGTCCAGGAGCCTGCCCCAGGCTACCATACCTAATCGTGTATTTTCTAGGGGAATTTGAAATGCTGCTTATTTTTTTTTTGTTTGGCATGCAGTGTGGTTTTAATGCACAAAGCCAGAGGCCAGCTGGGTTATCTGGGAAGATGAGGCTTGTCCTTTGAAGCACAAACCAACTAGTTCACTAGTCAGTTATCTCCAGCTGTTGCTGTGATGGGGGCTGGAGCCCGTGTCCTTCTAAGAGATAGGCAGACCTCTTTCAGACTCTAGTCTCCTATGGCTGGAGATCTTCCCTCTGCCCTTGGGCAGGTCCTATCTTCAAAAGCAACCTATTTCCAGCTATGTGATTCCACATGTGAGCCACTGATAGCATTTGAAATTCATTCTCTAGCTAGAAATGGAGCTTGGGGCGGGGGGAGTTGTGCAAAAGTCAGTTGGCCTTAGGAAAAAGTATGTCTTCTCTAAACAAACCCTCTTGTGTCTTGAGGGTTTGGCTCTCTTAGTCAAATGTGGCTTTGAAGTTGTTGGGTGTCTAGAGCACAAGCAGGCTTTCACTGAGGTGCCTGGATTGCCATGCCCTTTCTCGTGAAACATCATCTCAGACTTAACTATGCACGGAGGGAGAGGTGGGTGAGCAAGCAGGTGCTCCCTAGAGATGCTGCTCTGGAAACACCGTGACTTCATGGTGCTTCCTCTGAGATTGACATACTTGAGTATCTTTAACTTGTGGGGTTTTTTGTTTTTGTTTTTTTTTGTTTGTGACGAAACTGTAATAGCTGGGCAGATTGAACACTCTAATAAAGACTAGATCCTTGGAATGTGTATAGCCAGATTGCTACCTTTTTTGGGGTAGGGGAGATGTGGAGTGGGCGTAAGGGGTGGGAGGGGAGTGATGTGGGGGCTCTTACACTTAACATGAACTAACCAATTTGAAATTGGTCCAGCTTTGCTTCCTATCCAGTCAGAGCTGAAGTGTCACTAACAATGTAGTTATTACAGGTTTAACTGCCTTCCCGTAGAACAGCTTTGTCTTCACGGACAAGGCTGGTGTATAGACTCTGCCACAGCTCGGTAACAGCCTGGTGCCCAGAGCCTAATCAGTGTGGTAGGAGCTTGAGATTTTCCAGTGCAAGGTAAAACTGATTAAGGGCTGCTTTTGAGATCCTAAGTATGCCACCTTCATGGCTTCAAGGAAAGATTATTTTTTTCTTGCATTTTAAACTTCAGATGAACATAGGTGACGTGTAGCATGCTTTTTTTACAGGCTGCTTACCCTCTACCCACAGACACATAGACGCACTAAACTGAGATTCCCTCCTTCCCTTTAAGATGCAAAAAGATTCCCTACAGCCAACAGCTCGACAGGGCAACTTATGTTGAGATTGCACTTTTGATTTACAGAGTGTGTGTGGTGGGACTCTTGAGAATGGGTTGAATCTGAATTTTTCTAGACCTTGCAGTGATACTGTGCTGCCTCCTGTGAGGGGGCAATTGGAAGATTCCAGTAGCTTGAATGGCACTTGATTTTGTTTTAAATGTCTTTTTTTTCCTACACCTGTATCACCTGTCATGCGATGGGCTTGACATAGACTCACTAGATTCTTTAGAATCTGTTACAAATAAATACAGTGTATTCAAATTTGTTGGATTTTTTTATTTGCTTGTCCATCCGGGTAGTGTGGTATTGAGATGGCTGACCCTACTCCCACCAAAAACCAGGTTCTGAACCAACTGGTCACTTCAAGAGGAACGAGCTGAGATCCTGGTTCTGGACGTGGTCGAATGCTACGGAGCCTGGGAAGCATGTAGCTGTTGGCAGGTCACCCCTGTGGCCGAGGGAGGTTTCTATTTATAATGCTGTTCTTTAGTGTTGTGCATCTTCCCTTTTCCTGGTGGCTCCTCAAGTTGCTGGTGGGGGAGGGTGGCCCAGTTTGGCAGCCTGCTCGGTGTCGGTGGGGATCGGAGGTCCCTGCTGTTGGGGACAGTACTGGGAGACCCTTGCTGGTGGCTTTCCATGACTTTCTCACCTGCTGATGGTCCTGAACAGCAAAAGGTTGCTTGAGTAATTGAGACTTGCTTGTTTTGTGTGGCTGACCCACCTGCAAAGTGGGCCCTCTTGGAAAGGGGAGTGTAAGAGGCTCTGAAAGGTTTATCTTCCAAAAAAAAGCTTGGATCTGCTGATGTTCAGGCCATGGGATGGCTGGAAGCTGGCTGCCTGTAGCTGGGTGCAAGCTCCTCCGAGTCTGGCTGCCCTCCAGCCCAAGATGAAGTTTCACTTCCCCTTGTCAAGCTACAGGCAGTTCTGGTTCCACTGCAGCAATTGAGCTGATAACATGCCAGTCCCTCTTTGGGACAAATTTGCTGGCTCTGCATCTCCAAATTTTTACAGTCTGGGGCCAAGCTTCCCTCTGACAACAGATCTGGGTTGTTCTTGCTGGGCTGGCACCATGTAGGACCATGTCTCCATCGCCTGCTCGAGTAGGACTTTGCTCTTGCAGAGCTGATTTCTCTCTAAACCTGTTGGCAGCAAGATGGGATGCTTGCCTCTTGCTGGCACACAACCCAGCGTGAAGCTTCTGCCTTCCCTGAGCGTGTCTCGCGTATGGGAGTGGCTCTAAAAATATCTGCTTAGTTTGTCAGCTGTCTTGCCAGTGCCAGTGGTCGGTCCTGACGATGGCTGCTGATGCTCTGGTGAATAAGCTGCCTCTGGATTTGTGACCCTGAGCAGAGCAGCAAAAGCCCTGACAGAGTCGGCTTGTCATTGTTGGAGCGGATCAGACTATACAAAAGGATGTTCGTGGAAAGTACTAGTTGTGATCAGAAAGGAGCTATCAATGTTTACAACTGAGATTTGGATCCCTCTTTTGTTAATTGTCAAATAAAAAAAAACAACATATATTTTCTCACAGCCAGTAGTCTGTCATTATTTTTCTCTTTGAACAGAGGGTGATGGACAAGTCAGGATGTGCCCGAGTATCTGGTGGATGAGATTTGGCCGCTAGTGATGGGTGTGTTGGTGTGCGCTGGGTGCCTGAGAGCTTCTCTCAGCCTTGGCTCTAGAGCTTTGCTCCGAGGAAAGACGTGTGTTGGGCTGGCTGTGGCTCTGCCCCAGCAATTCCCTATATTTAGACCACTGGTGTTATGGCAATGGCAGCCTGCTCTGGGTTATGCTGGCAGTGCCCAGCTCGGATAACTGGAGTCAGGAGTGGAGAAGCCCACGCTGCGGTCGGCGTGGGAGCACGGCAGTACCGTACGGCACATGCCCTGCAGCACCTCTGCAAAGGGCTGGTGCATGATCGATGCCTTGAGATGCATCCAAAAATACTTAGCGTTGTATCAGCTAGATCACTTCCAGGGCTTGCGATGCAGGGTTTACATCTGCAGACCTGCCCACAGCAGCTTTTCTCCTGGAAGGACAGCTGGCTGAGCTCCAAAATCACTGAAACGGGCAGAATTTGCCTTGAATCTCCAGAATGCAAGAAGTGTCTTGCTCCAACCTTCCTGCTTTCAGCTGTCCTTAATCTGTCAGCTCAATGCCGAGGGTGGCACCATCTATATCCAGGCGGGTAGCTAGACCTAGCGTGGCGTTCAAATTGTATGTCTTTCTAATTAGCCTTTCTTGTGTAGTATGCCAGGGTTTCTACCCAGCTGCCCTCCTCCTCAGTAGCCGCTCGGGCAGCGCGGGTGTTAACTCTGCTATTTGAGATCCTGCAGAATGAGAGAACAGTCTGTCTGTACGGCTCCTCTTTCCATTTATAGCTGTGTTTAGGCGATCCAGCACACGGACCCTTGTGCTCTGACGCCTGGTGCCAAGCACGAGACAAATGCTGCATTGATATGTACATACTGGGAGGGCAGCTTGCTCTCGGCGGGGCCGTGGCAGCGGGGTTGGGACGGAGCTAAGCTGCCGGAGGATGGCACAAACTCGGTCCCCTTTGCTGCGGTCCTGAGCCCTGGGGGAGCAGCTGAGCCTTGCAGGGGGGGAGTGAAGGCTGATAGTGAGAAATGTGCAGCGTGCAACTTGGGCTCTGTCATTGAACCCTCCTATCTTATCTCCTGGCCCTGGTTGCTGTCTGTTGGAGGTTCTGGTTCAGGCTTTTGTATTACAAATAGGATTTCAGCTCATGTTAGAGCGGGTGTGGA